TATATATATATATATATATATATATATGAACAATTGGATAACACTGAAGGTAAGAAAGACCAGGGCTCTAGAACTGGAATTACCAAGGCAAATGGTCCTAAAAAATGTATTGACAGCAAACATTGTTTCCTGGCATATATAACTACCTTTGTTTCATGGAAATGATCTTAATATTGGTAGTTCAAAGTAAAGAACTCAATTCCCACTTAGCTATTAAGCAGTCTGCATAATCATAAGTTCATACATAAGTCTATTTCTAATTTATACAAGAGTAATCAGATAGAAAATAAATCTATATGAATATTGTATGACATCTCTAACAGTTGTTCAATCATGGTTTTGTTAAGGTAACTAAAAAACAATATGAAAAACGACAAATAATGCATTGGATAAGAATGCATCCAGTGGTTCGTATCCATAAAACATAATCTAACTATTGTTAGGACACATCCCACATTATTAATGTAGACCTGTTTTCTACAAGGATATCCTCTTTTACAAACATAAATCTACAAATTACTCTGTTACCAGAACCAGTAAAAGTAGAAGTCAGAAATAACTAATAAACCACAAAAGACATTCTACCCGGGAATATTTATTCTGAAATCAAGACAGGAAGTCCCCAAGAGTAGGTGTCAAGAGAATATGATGTCCACATGGAATCTGCTCCAAACTACAAAACATCAGATTTGGGCTCAGGAAGTATTACCATGAATGAAGTTTCCAAGCTTTAGTGATTCATTTAGGCATTGCAGTTCAACAAACTCTAAAACAACAAACCGAACTTGTGTCGTCTTTGACAGCTAACAACGAATGAAGCTTTATTCAACGAAAAATGACAAAATAACTTCTCAATGAAAATAAGGAAGCAATGCAGATAGATTATTTGTTGAAAGCAATAAGGATCTTCAAGGGCATATCTAACTACTTAGATTGATGTTTATTAAGAGGAAACAGACAATCGAACCAGCAAACATACATGTCGTTCATCTAGAGATGGAAAGTTCCTATTATTCAGAAAAATTAGCTCCACCAAATAAAAGCGAAATTTGTATTTTACCTTGTTCACCATAATGAGCAGCCAAAATTTCTGGAGGGATTCCTTGCATTCCAAAAATTTCGATTTCTGTTGATTCCCTATCAGGTTTAGCATTGGGAACCCTGGACAAGTTTGTTTAAGATAAGCAAATCAACGTATAAAATATCAAAAATCAAGCTGACATAGAGAAAAAAGAAGTTCACTCACTAAAGAAAATCCACATAAAGGACTAATATACATTTAGTTCCCATGATAAAGCACAGAAGCAAAAAAATAACTATCCAATAAACCACACTAAGAAATCCCTGACAATGAAAAATTCAAAAAAAAAAAAAGACTATTTTTCCTCCTGTAGTTGCCTTTCAAACAAAGAAAACCAGATGAAGGAACTATTATCATGTAGATATAATCAGAAAATGACAAACACGTAGAGACAACCTTCCGATAGAAATATATGAGTTTTACTGACAATGCAGATTCAAAACAAAGATTTCACCTTTCCTTCTTGAAGTTGCCTTCAAAACTGAAGTGAAGCAGAACAAAGAGAAAAGCAATGCGGATAAAATTGAAAATATTAATCAAATAGCAAACTCCCAGAGTATCAAGTCCAATGGCCCGAGCAAAGGAAAAAGTAAAAGCGTTCCATTTAGAAATACCATATCATGTTCCCAAGACAATTCATGTGCACCGTGAAATAGAAGAACAATGAGAAGAAGAACAATAAAGGAGTGCACAGATCAACCCAAAAAGCTTTGCAGGGTAAAACCCTAATATAAACAACAAAGAGAGACTGAGAACATGGCACAGTAACACATGTGAAAAATTAGGGTTTCTAGGTATTAGTGTTAATACTTGGTGACAGTCTCTTTATGGACTTGAAGAACATGGATGGCCATGCCACCGGCCGTTGAGAGCTTCTTGTGGCAGACATGGCACTTGAAGTGCTTCGCCTTTTGGTGCTGAACCAGGATCTTCTCATCGTCAAATTCACGATCACAGTAATAACACCACACCTTCGACGCCCTCTTCTTCTTCTTTCCCATCTCCTCTTGCTTACTCTAACTCCAACGCCTCCCCCTCTCTCTCACACTCTCTCTCAACAACAAAGCCCAACGCCCTCTTACGAGAATCGAAATCAAAATCCTTACCCTTTCTGGCTCTTAATAACTCTCTCTCTCTCTCTCTCTCTCTCTCTCTCTCTCTCT